TATATTAATTATTCAACATCAGCCCATTATTTTTAAGCTTATTGGACTCTGATTATTGAAACCCAAATGCCCAATACCCTTTGTCTCTTATCAAGCGCCAACCAAAAAGAAAGCGAGAGAACGACTGGCGTGCGTGAGCGAGAGATGAGTAATGTCCGACTTCCAAGGTGCAATTAAATCTTCAACGATTAATGTCTATGGAAAATCGAAACGTTTTCTCCGGATTCTAAGGTAAGTAATGGTCTTTTGATAGTCAGATTTCTTCTATTTCTTCTTCAATTTCAATTGAATTGATCTCTTATTTCTTCCCCAATTCTCTCTTTTCTAATTTCTGATTTAGTATATCTGATTCTAAAATCAACATTCAACATTCGACTGATTTGCTTATCCTTCTTAGTTTTCACGATTCCTATTGATTTTCGATTTCCAAGTTTAATTTTTTCGATTTCCAAGTGTAATTTTTTTTTTCTGCAATAAAACCAAACCACTGAGAATCTGTAGTTACAGACGAAGTAGCATCAGAATCTAATTATCCCACCAAAATCATTGTCTCGCTGATTGTGAATCTTTTCTCGGTTTTTTAGAGATAATTGGTTATTTATTTGCTTAATTTCATTTGTTTAATGTTAATCTTTTTAATCTGATTTTTTTAACTTCATATTTTATGTTGTAACTGTGGGGCTTTTTCAATTGACATTGGCAATTGCTTAGAGGTTATTCACAAGCTCACAACATCAACAATTCAGCATCATCAGTCAACAGTAGGTACAAAAGAACTATTCTTTTATTATTTGTTATTTGTTTGCTTGTTGGTTACCTCTTATCACTCTATTGAATATGTATCCTAGAAAGTATATGTATGGAAGTGGAAAACGAAAGAAAAAAGAAAAAATTGAACAAGATAATGAAACTCAAAAAGGGTCTATGAACAAGTGTTTTTTTTTTTTAATAGTTATGTTGATGTACAAGTAAATGAACAAGATAATCTCACACATGAAATTGTTTTTAATGATCAAGATAATGTCTTGAAGGAAAAAGTTTCAAAAGAGAAAGTTTCAAATGAAAATTTGATACTGATGATGAAAATATTAATAATGAAGATGTTAATATCAATAATGAAAATGTTAATATTACAAATGAAAATGTCATGAATGATAACAATGAACAATTTATTCCATCTTTAGATATATATGATCCTAGTAATTAGGATAATCTTGATAATAACTTAAGAGATATTTTGATTGAAAAATAACCAATAAGATAATCAAATTTTGTGTATCCTAAAGATAATCTAGCTAGATATTTTTCTTATGCTTCTTATACTAGAAAGTTAAGTAACGGTGAGATGAGTGATCGAAAATAGCTATTTTACTCAAAAAAAAAAAAAAGTTGATAAAATGTTTTGTTTTTGTTGTAAATTGTTTAAACCTAATGATTATTTTAATGAAATTTCTTTAGCAAATGATGGATTTAATGATTAGAAACATCTATTTGATAGACTTAAAGAACATGAAATAGTTCCCAACATCTTTTTTGTATGGATTTTTGGGATGAACTAATAGCAAGACTGGATAAGAATAAAACTATTGATAAATACTTACAAAATAAAGTTTTAACTAAAAAAGAACGTTGGAGGCAAATTTTAAAAAGAATAATTGTTGTCATCAAATATTTGGCAAAAATATAATTTGGCTTTTCGAGGTTGTAATGAAAAACTTTTTCAAGAATCTAATGGTAATTTTTTGGGAGCAATTCAAATGATGGCAGAATTTGATGTTATAATGTAAGAGCATGTTAGACACATAGAAAATTATCAAACTCATTTTCATTATTTAGGACACAAAATTCAAAATGAATTCATTTCTATTTTAACTAACAATGGAAATTCTATAATTACTATTATATAAGAATCAAATTATTTTCCTGTTATCCTTGATTGCACCCCCGATGTTAGCCATCAAGAACAAATAACTCTTGTTATTCAATGTGTGAACATGTCTAATAATAAAAAAAAGTTAAAGATTTTTTTTTTAGAATTTTTAAAGGTAGAAAATACATCGGGTTCAAGACTTTTTAATGAGTTATTAAATGCAATTAGATTCTAGGTCTTAATATTGATGATGTAAGAGGACAAAGTTATGATAATGGTTCAAACATGAAAGGAAAACACCAAGGTGTTCACAAACGATTACTTGAAATTAATCCAAAAATATTATTTATGCTATGTGTTTGTTATAGTCTTAACCTCACAGTTAGTGATATAGCTCATTCATGTGCTAAAGCTAGTTTTTTGGAGTTTTGCAATGTATTTTTGTATTATTTTCAAGTTCAACCAAAAGATGATCAATATTACTTGATAAAGTCCCAAACTTAACGGTAAAATATTTATCTAATACATGTTGGGAGAGTCTAATAGTAAGTGTCAAAGCCATTAGATTTCAAGCTCCTCATATAAGGGATGCCTTGGTAGAATTAAGTTTATCATGTGATAATGCAAAGTCTAAAAGTGAAGTTGAAAGTTTTGTTCACGCTATTGAAAGTTATGATTTTTTACTTGGTATGGTAATTTGGTATTATATTCTATTTGCTATAAACAAAGTTAGTAAGAAAATGTCAACCAAAACTATGTGTATTGATGTCACAATTGATCTGTTAAAAAATATTATGACATTTTCTAAAAATTATAGAAATGAAGGTTATGCCCTTAATATCAATAATGCTAAGGCCATTACATCGGATATGGATGTTGAACCTATATTCCTAAAAAAGACCAAATTATTAGAAAAAAAAAACAATTTGATGAAATTAATTGTGAATATGATTTACTATCACCCGAAGAATCATTTATAATCGAGTATTTTATATATATTGTTGATGTGACAACTGCGTCATTAGAAAGTAGATTTGAGCAATTAACAAACTTTGAAAACATTTTTGGATTTTTATATGATTCAAAAAGATTAAAGTCATTGGATGATATTGAACTTAAAAAAAAGTTGTGCTGTTTTTGTAAATAAGTTTACTCATAATAACTTAGGTGATGTGGATTTAAATGAATTTTTGACGAAATTTAAAGTATTACAAAAGACTTTGCCAAATGTTGTTATGTCATCGGTTGAAATTTTAGAGTTTGTCAAATGTAAAGATTGTTATCAAAATGTTTGTATTGCATATAGAATTTTATTAACCATACATGTTACTGTAGCATCAACAAAAAGAAATTTATCAAAACTAAAATTATTAAAAAATTATTTGAGATCACCAATATCATAAGAAATATTAAATGGTTTGTCTATGTTATGCATTGAAAAAGATTTGTTGGATAATATTGAACTTGATTCTATAATTGATGACTTTTGCATCTAAAAAAGATCGTAAATGTAAAAAATTTTAGTTTTTCTTTGATATGTTTATGTATTAGAGTTCAAAGCATGTTTTGACTTTTTTATTTTGTTGTTTTGTATTAATAGATGCTAGGTTGTTTGGTTTACGAGGCATGTCCCAAAGTCTTTTTTCTTCATAGGTGGGGAGTCCCCAACCTTTAATTGTATTATTATTTTTTTAATTAATAAAATTTCCGGAGGTGCCGCTCTGTTTTACAAAAATAAATACATAAATAAACAAATAAATAAAATATGAGGGCCCTTTTTTTTACCCCGGACCCCAAATTGTCTAGGACCAGCCCTAAATCAAACGATCTCTAAAAGTGTTCGTGTGTATGTGTTCATGCTCGAACATCAAATATGGGTTTATTGGAGCAATTTTCAGATCTATGTGTTTTCATGCTCGATTTTGGAACAACAGTCATACACTCATCTGATGTGTATTATGTGTGTGTTCATCACAGATCTTGAGTTCAGGAGAAAAGATAAGAAAGAGAGAAGAGAGAATAGAAGTCTTGAATCTAAAAGAGATCTAATGTGTATGTTGTGTGTTCATTTTCACCGGAAAAATCGTAAATCAGAGACTCGCCGAATAAGATGACCGGAGCATTACTGGAGCCTTCAAATACACCGAAAATTGGCTAAACCTCCGATAGCAGGTCATAAGGATGTTATTTGAATAGTTCAACAAATTCAATAAGAAAATATGGACAAAAAAACTTAATGACTAAATGTACACACTTGAATAACACACTTTTAAGTCATTATCTCTTATGAAAATGGAAACAAATGAAAATCAGTATAAAATGTTAGAAATTCGAGGTAATAAAAGGTTTGCAAATTTCGAAAATCGTGTGTACACTTTCAGATTAAAGTATTTGGGTGATACTCTCAACATTTAATCGGATAAGACTTAGAAGAGTTCTAAGAATATAGAATATGAAGTTATGATTTTCATGATTGATGCTGTACCAGGAAAATTATGATCAAAATAATTAAATATTTCATTTGTCTGAAAATTATCAAGATAGTTTTCTTTATGCAAAAACTATTCAAACTGTCAAAAACAATTTATAGCAGTCATAAAATGTCACTAATTAATAAGGGTCAAAATGAAGTCAAAACCGAATTTATTTACAAAAAATTCAGATTTCTAGTGCATTTTTATATAGTAACTGAACTCATAAAAAAGACCCCAGCTAAGGGCTCTGCTCCTTTGATCCCGCCAGGGGCCGCCCCTTGGACCCTGCTCCTAGGGGAGCTGCACCCGGACCCCCGTTCGTTTAGGGGTAAAAATGACAGTCTACTTTGAATTTTGAATAATTTTAAACAAGTATGCATTTCGCATATTTCTTACTTGTTTAATATTCATCAAGATTGATTTTTGATTAACAATTCAATCCATTACATTTAAATACACATTGATGATACAAAATCATCAACATAAAATACTTCCGATAACAAAAAAAAAAATAATAACCCTCATTATAAAAACCCACATAGATACAAAATAAAAGGATCCAAACCAAAATTATCTTGTGGACGAAGGAAGCAATTTTTTTTTTCAATGTGTGTACGATGGTTATTGTATCCATGTGCGACACAACACGACTCATCCAACAACACACACGAGGATAGGGTGTGTCATTTTGTTAAAAGATTTTATAATGAAAACATAAACTGTCAGTTTAAAAAATCACAGGACTAATTCTATAAATTATGTAACTGTCAAGGGACTGGTTTTGTAATTTCCGATCAGAGAGATTGAAGATATCAGAAGCCAGAAAGAAAGAAGATGTCTACATATCACATTCAACGAAATTTCACAGGAACGCGTCCCACAGTCGGAGGATAAGAAGACGCAAGATCTATCGTTGACTTTGTTCCTTCTTATAGTAGGTCACCTGCGTCTGTCGAATTGGGGATTGAAACCCGAAAAAAACCCTAAAATCAGCGAAAGTTTTGAAGTAATTGAGCGATGAGGAGAGTGTTCGGCGTTAAGAAAGACAAGGAACCGCCTCCTTCCCTTAATGATGCCTCTGATCGGGTACTCTCTCTGTCTATCTCATTCGATTATGTTTGATTTCATGTTTAATTTGATCGATCATTGTATCTGGGGTTATTATTACGCTTACTAATTGGGAATCCTAAATAGGTAGGGGTGAAACCAAATATCTCAAAACAGCATAATAATTTGATAGGCTAAGATCCTAAATCCTCTTTAAAACCCTTATTTACTTATATAATTTTTATCCATGTAACATAGATTCTTGTATAGTATGCATTCTGCAATTGGTACCCTATTTTGCCTAATAGTTGTGATCCTCATCATGGAATTAATATTTATATCATTATATGATCATATCTTGGCATCTTATGACATGGGAATGAGGCATAGTATGACTTGATTGCATTCCAAGCTTATATATATCAGCTGAATTATGTTCCAACAAACAAACGTAAACAATATTATATGTCATACACCTTCAGTGATGATAATACAACCTCTAAGTAGATCCATCACCATGGATTATCTACATTAAGTGTTTCTTACAAACTCTAAGTATTGTTTCTTAAAATGTATGCCTGATAAATTTGTATAACTTGTTTTAGATCAATAAAAGAGGTGAAACAGTGGATGAGAAGATCAAAAGACTTGATGGGGAACTTGCTCGATACAAGGAACAGATCAAAAAGACCAGACCAGGTCCCGCTCAAGAAGCTGTTAAGGCTCGAGCAATGAGAGTTCTTAAACAAAAAAGAATGTAGGCTCTGAATATACATACATCTTATATATATATATATATATATATATATATATATATATATATGTGTGTGTGTGTGTGTGGATATGTATTTGCTTATGTAAATTAATATACAATCAATCTTTAATGATTCTTGACAGGTATGAAGGACAACGTGACATGTTGTACAATCAAACATTCAACCTGGATCAAGTTGCATTTGCTTCAGAAGGAATTAAAGATGCTCAACAAACAGTATGTGTCACAGTTATTAAGCATTTTGTTCAAAGACTTGTTTATAAATTTTGTATCTTGCAGATGACAGCTTTGAAATCAGCAAACAAAGAGCTGAAAGGAATGATGAAGACTGTGAAGATTCAAGACATTGATGTTAGTATAAATATTATGAATCTGTTTCTTTTGATACTTTATCATTACAGACCATTTATTCTTGTTTATGTTTAGAATTTGCAAGATGAAATGATGGACATGATGGATATAAGCAATGAGATACAAGAATCTCTTGGTAGAAGTTACAGTGTGCCAGATGATATTGATGAAGATGATCTCATGGGTGGTAAGCACAAATTATTATTATTATTATTATTATTATTTATTTTTTCTTTTTTTTAAATGCTAACTTCACTTTATGGAAATGTTTCAGAACTTGATGCTTTGGAGGCAGACATGGGTCAAGAAACTGAAGGTGAAGGGGTACCTTCATATCTTCAACCTGATAATGAGCCTGATCTGAATGAAGAACTTAATCTGCCTTCAGCTCCAAGTGGACATGCAGTGCCAGCTGGCAGAGTTAACAATCAGGTAACTTTTAAATACAAATAGCTTCAAGTGATAATTGATAATGGTAATTTATGTGTTTTTTTTTTTTTTTTTTTTTTTTTTTTTTTTTTTTTTTAATTTTTTTACAGGCTGTGGATGAATTTGGTTTTCCTGCTGTCCCTCATGCATCTCTTCGTAGTTAAGAGGTTTATTTTTTCAGATGGCTTAGGGTCAGTATTGTCTTTTTACCTCTCTTAACAATAGTGTGCATAATTTGAACATGATACTTGCTGTCACTTCTTGGGGATGTATATGATTTGTTGGCACTTTTTAAGTGATTGATGCTTTATTCATGTAGATGCCTTTGGTTGAAGTTTTGCATTTGGTTTTTGGTTTAAAATTTATGTTTTATAAAATCGTGTTTCTAAACTTTTATGTTTCTTATATTACGTTTTTTTTAATATTTCTTATGTTGGAAAATGGGAGAAATTCGTTATTCTTTCTCTATTGTTTTGTACAATAATTTAAACCGTAAAGTTGTTGGAGTATTTAATAAATTGGTGAACTAGTCTTTGAAGGATATTTGGGTTGAGTGTTTTTTTTTTTCTTCCTTTGAGATGCAAAAAGTCCGATCTACCTGTATAATTAATAAACTCTATTCTTTACTTATGGTAAAAAAAAAATGGAATTATGTTGCTTTAATGAGTAAATAATTGTAAGTACATTGTTATCATGTGTAAAGAAAATGTATGTTGCTATTATTGCTATTATTAGCATAAATTATAAGTATGTTGTTTTTACGGGTAAAAAATGAAGTGCGTTTTCTATATTTGTTAAAAATAAGTAAAGTTCGTTGCTATTTCCTGCAATTTGCCATATGTATTATAGTTTTTTTTTTTTTTTTTTTTTTTTTTTTTTTTTTGGAATATCATAGTTACTATTCATTTGGATAAATGTTGGACATGATGTCATAAAGTGACATGTTTTTTTATTTGTCTTGTTTAAGTTTGTATTTGACCGACAAATTTAACTTACTCCTAAACTACTTCTAGTTTCACATATGTCTCAACGAGACTTGAACATCAACCTAATGAATGGAAGACAAATTTAATCTACTCCTAAACTATTTATAATTCCATTTTTAAGTAGCCTTTACACATAACTAATCCAATATACTTTTAAAAAGAGAAAATTACAAATTTAGCCTAATTTCTTAATGACTTTTCACAAAATAGTAAAAGATTAGGAGTTTTTACAAAATAGGCACATAACTTGTAGATGAGGAGGGCTCATTTGCGGTTTCGTGCACTTAACTTTGGTTTCGTCAAATCTGGACAAACATGCCTTCGTTTTTGTTTGTTGGGTTGTGGTTTCATTGCCTCGTCTTCTATTGTTGCAAACTCTATAATTTATTTTATTTTCATTTTTAAGATGATGAAATTGTAGATGGTATTTGACCCTGGGGTTTCCTCTTAATTATCTTGGCTTCGGTTTCATGGTCTGGATTTATTTATTTGTTTTTATTATTATTCCAATTTAAGTTTTACTACCATATTATAGTCTAAATCATAGAAGCTACTACTACCACATGTTCAGGGGATAGCACATAACAACAAGAAAATGAGAAAATTTTGATAGTATGAAGAACGAAACCGAAGATCGCATTACCATCTACATTGGTACAAGTTTGTAACGCACAAAAGATGATACAAGTTTGTAATGCTCAAAATGTGCATTATACACTCGTATCATTGTATGTGACAACGTCATCTTCCAGTTTTGTTCTTTATATTATCCAGTTTTTTTAAAAGTTAAAAAAATAGCAAATAACATACATATAACCGTAAATTAGAGCATATATGATAAAAAGCTAAATAAAACACCATTTAAAATATTGTTTCGTTATTCATTCATCAAAAAGAGAATATTAAAGTTTGAGTGTAAAAAATAAGCTACATTTTTTTAACGGTTTAAATATAATGTCTTAACGGGCTGCGAAACTAAAGATGGACCACGAAACTGCAACATGTATGATAAAACCGAAAGAGTGTTCTCCCCTCACAGGATGAGATCGAAGCCGACTAGATGGAACCACAAATAAGGTAGCCTCATCTGTGATGTTAGTGCTATATATTTTTTTTTTGAAAAAACCCTAATTTTTACTATTTTTTGCTAAGTAATTAAGAAAAATGACTATAGTTGTATTTCTCACTTTTAAAAATGTTAATCTACAAATATTCACAATAAGAACTTAAAAATGTTCATCTTAGAGCATTCACAATAAGAGCTTTTTATGAGTTTTTTCAAACCAAAACAATTCTTGAAAAAAAGGAAAAACTATTCACAATAAGAGCTTTTTATGATCTTTTTCAAATAAAAAAAATTCCAAAAAAAGGAAAAAACTGTTGGAGAAGTTTTTTTTTTTTTTTTTTTTTTTTTTTTTTTTCAAATTAAGGTTGTGTTTGATATATTATAACTAGTTTAAACTATTAAAAAAACTTTTTTCACCTGCAATTGTTAAACATACTAGTTTTTTTTTTTTTTTTTTCAAAATTACGTGATCATACTAATTATTTATCACCTGCAATTGTTAAACATTGATAGGGTAAACGGTGACGCTTAGTGACTTCAATAATAGATACAATATAACGTTATGCCATATATATACTTCAATATGACAAAAGCAAATAGGAACAACAAGACATATGTGAAATCATGTAACAAGCGTTCATATCAATCAAATACTTTATTCAAAGATATACTTTTCAATACTTGATATACATCAATAAAACTTTGGCCCAAATGTCATAGAAGATATGCAATTTCTGATTAACATCTTGTTAGATTTCAAGCTTATAGTCATGTCTAACCATTTGCTAATGCCATAGAATAGAAGTCATTCTCTTACGGAGACATGCCCTACATGGCCAGAGGCTACGTACCAGTACCAATGTGAATCTAAGTCCTTTCACTGATCACATGGTCAAAGGTATTACATTTGCTATAAACATAGCGAATAAAATAACACGGGAAAATAACTCAGAATAATAACACTGAAAAACACGTAGCACATATAACACATAACATACAATTGTTCCTATATATTGAACTCACCTTAAATTAACCGGGGGTTAAAATAGTAATTTGGACAACACTTCGGCTTTAAATATGACTTTCTATGTTGAAAACTGAGAGCTTAATTGAAAACCGGGCTCTGCGAAGGTAGGGCTTCAAAACCAAAAAGATAAAATTTTCGGGCTTCTCGGGAGTTTCGGGTGCTAAAATTGATACCGGGGCTTCGGGGAAAGTAAAAATGAAGAAAATATGGAAAAAGGGGTGAAAAGTGTCAAATTTTCAAAGTTAGTCGGCGAGTCTCACAACCCCCTTATTTATAGGGTGCGAGACCGAAGGTGCGTGGCTAGAGAGGTTCCATGTCGCATCTGCGAGGCTCGGTACGGAGGGGTGACGAGGCAGGCGCGCAGGCTCGGACGCGAGGAGGCATGGAGGAGCGAGGTTTAAACACCAAGGCGAGGGGCGTCGGAATTTCGTTGGACCGCACTTCGGTCGAATCAGTATGTGACACGCGCCAGCTTCGGATTGGGCCACGTTTCGGATGACGCTGTTGCTTCGTGCGAGGTGACGTGGCCGGTACTATTCATTCGAGATTTCTCGGAAATTGAGCCCTGAACTTCTAAAATCCATAACTTTCGCATACGAGCTCCGTTTTTGACGTTCTTTATATGCACGCGTAGCTAAAATTACGCTCTATAACTTTCATTTAGACTTCGTCCGCTAATTTTGATTTTTTTTAAATATTATTATTTTTAACAGACCGGGACAAGAAAATCCGTTAAAATTTCATAACTTCTTCATCCGACATCTGTTTTCGTCAAACTTTTTACCGTTGTACTACAAATGACGAGACCTTCGATTCTCATTTAGGATGTATCGGTGAAATATCGCTCGATCTAAAATTCGAGTTTTTAGCTGTCTACTGCTAAGTTGAAACTTCGAAAAATCATAACTTTCTCATACGAAGTCAAATTTTGGCGTTCTTTTTATCGAATTTCTCGGTTTAACGAATATAATGACTTTCATTCAGATTAATAAGGCTAAAAAGTAGTTTATCAAAATCTCACTTTTTACGTCATTCGGCGTCGTGTCGGTTTTGTCGCGGATCTTCGATTGGTCATAACTTCTTCGTTATAACTCGGATTTCGACGAGGTTTTCACCTAAATGCTTCTAAAGAGATTCTCTACAACATTAAATAATAAAATTTCACTTATTTCAAATTTTATATTTTCGCTAAATTTCACTATTTGGCTATTAATTGGAATCTCATAAGACTTCCAATATTTTATGAGTGATTCTAAACATAGTGTTACTTTATTTATAATAAAAACCATCTTGTTAGACCTCAACACTCAATTTCACATAATATTTCACAATTTTATTCATTACAAAACATGATTTCAAAACGTGTATGTTACAATTTTTACTAATTGTAAATAGACAAATATACAAACAAAATATAAATAGTTAAATTGAAAAAGCTCTCCTATTGTGGTGCACATCAATCTTTTTTAATGAAAAAATTATAGAAAAAAAATGATTCTATTGCGGTTACTTTTGCATAAGCTTTAAATCGTCTCCTTAACATTTTAGGTTACGCAACAACATTTAACCATTTGTAATAAATTTAGTTAAAGTTCAATCAAATGTAATAATATTAAAACCTTTGTAGACAAGTTAGTTAAAAATTAACAAAATATATCGACAACTATTGTAACTATTGTATTGTGTAGATTTTTGAGTAATATATTTTATAAATGATTTATCATTGTTTTATTAAACCGAACTGTAAATGAATTTTCCTAGGAGAGTCGAAATAATTTTTGTCATATATTTGACTTATTTTTTTTAAAATTTATAATTATATATACAAAATAGTAGTTAATGAATCATAAAATACATGACAAATTTCATAAAACACAATTTATTATATGCATGTTGTTGAAAAAAAACTTATATTAAATACATGATAGTTTAAACCTTCTCTTTTTAAAACTGTTTAATTGTGTTATTTTAAGGGTTTTTTCAATAAGATATTTGTGATAGATTGTGATTTTCTGACATTACATTTATTAAGTATAGGTTTTTTTTCTTGGGTATGAATTGAAACATTCTTGGTTTTTTGCTGTTAAAATATTATAAAAAGGTTTTTACCTATGATGAATTAAAATAATTAATTTTTTTAAAATAATACAATTTTTTTACATGAATTCTTTTAATAAGAAATTTATAATAAATTGTGATTTTCCTAACTTTTATAGTTTTATTCTTACAAGTTAAATATATTGTTATTTTATGATAAAGTTAGTTGGGGTTTCCACATGATTGATTACTGAATACTTTACAAATTGAGATTGGAACATGGGTGGATGGGCGTGTTGATTGTTGTATTTGTATATGTGCAATCTTTTTTTCTGGTAATATATCCAACCCATTGAAGTATTGCCCTTGTTCTTCATTTTTATAAACACTTATTGTGTGTTGGGGGATCATATATTCCACATAAACATTAAAAATACG